GCCGCCGCCTCCGGAGAGACCAGAGGCTCTTCTGGAAGAGCCCCTGAGCCCACTGGGAGGGACTGGTTTGAACTGGGAGATCCCAGTGGCTCCCGTTGTGCCCCAGCAGGGTCATTACATCCCATTATTTATCCACGGCTCCGGTGATTTTTGGGATCCGCCGCCCCCATCTATTGTCCCGGCTTTCCTCCTGCACCAGTGGGGACTGGGAGGGACTGGGAGGGACTGGTTTGAACTGGGGGATCCCAGTGGGATCTGGTGGCTCCCGCTCTGCCCCAGCAGGGTCATTACATCCCGTTATTTATCCACGGCTCCGGTGATTTTTGGGATCTGCTGCCCCCATCTATTGTGCCGGCTTTCCTGCCGCACCAGTGGAGACTGGGAGGGACTGGTTTGAACTGGGGGATCCTTGTGGGATCTGGTGACTCCTGCTCTGCCCCGACAGGGTCATTATACCCCAGCAGGGTCATTACATCCCATTATTTATCCACGGCTCCGGTGATTTTTGGGATCCTCCGTCCCCTTTTATTGTCCCGGCTTTCCTCCTGCACCAGTGGGGACTGGGAGGGACTGGTTTGAACTGGGAGGGACTGGTTTGAACTGGGGGATCCCTGTGGCTCCCGGTGTGCCCCAGCAGGGTCATTACACCCCGTTATTTATCCACGGCTCTGGTGATTTTTGGGATCCGCCGCCCCCGTTTATTGTCCCGGCTTTCCTGCTGCACCAGTGGGGACTGGGAGGGACTGGTTTGAACTGGGAGGGACTGGGAGGGACTGGTTTGAACTGGGGGATCCCAGTAGTTCCCACTGTGCCCCAGCAGGGTCATTACACCCCATTATTTATCCACGGCTCCGGTGATTTTTGGGATCCGCCGGCCCCTGTTTATTATCCCGCTTTCCTCCCGCACCAGTGGGGACTGGGAGGGACTGGTTTGAACTGGGAGGGACTGGGGGATCCTGGTAGTTCCCACTCTGTCCCAGCAGGGTCATTACACCCCATTATTTATCCACGGCTCCGGTGATTTTTGGGATCCGCCGCCCCCGTTTATTGTCCCGGCTTTCCTCCCGCACCAGTGGGGACTGGGAGGGACTGGGAGGGACTGGTTTGAACTGGGGGATCCTTGTGGGATCTGGTGGCTCCTGCTCTGCCCCGACAGGGTCATTATACCCCAGCAGGGTCATTACATCCCATTATTTATCCACGGCTCCGGTGATTTTTGGGATCCTCCGTCCCCTTTTATTGTCCCGGCTTTCCTCCTGCACCAGTGGGGACTGGGAGGGACTGGGAGGGACTGGTTTGAACTGGGGGATCCCAGTGGGATCTGGTGGCTCCTGGTGTGCCCCAGCAGGGTCATTACATCCCGTTATTTATCCACGGCTCCGGTGATTTTTGGGATCCGCTGCCCCCATCTATTGTGCCGGCTTTCCTGCCGCACCAGTGGAGACTGGGAGGGACTGGTTTGAACTGGGGGATCCTTGTGGGATCTGGTGACTCCTGCTCTGCCCCGACAGGGTCATTATACCCCAGCAGGGTCATTACATCCCATTATTTATCCACGGCTCTGGTGATTTTTGGGATCCTCCGTCCCCTTTTATTGTCCCGGGTTTCCTCCTGCACCAGTGGGGACTGGGAGGGACTGGTTTGAACTGGGGGATCCCAGTAGTTCCCACTGTGTCTCAGCAGGGTCATTACACCCCATTATTTATCCACGGCTCCGGTGATTTTTGGGATCCGCCGGCCGCTGTTTATTATCCCGCTTTCCTCCCGCACCAGTGGGGACTGGGAGGGACTGGTTTGGACTGGGGGATCCTGGTAGTTCCCACTCTGTCCCAGCAGGGTCATTACACCCCATTATTTATCCACGGCTCCGGTGATTTTTGGGATCCTCCGTCCCCTTTTATTGTCCCGGGTTTCCTCCTGCACCAGTGGGGACTGGGAGGGACTGGGAGGGACTGGTTTGAACTGGGGGATTCCAGTGGGATCTGGTGGCTCCCGCTCTGCCCCAGCAGGGTCATTACATCCCATTATTTATCCACGGCTCCGGTGATTTTTGGGATCTGCTGCCCCCCATTTATTGTCCCGGCTTTCCTGCTGCACCAGTGGGGACTGGGAGGGACTGGGAGGGACTGGTTTGAACT